ATGGACATTGGTGGTAACATACATCTGAAGAGTAGTGAACCTATATCATAGTTATACAGTGTTGTAAGCAAAAAAAAAAAATATATATATATTATATATATTATTTTATCATGTATCTATACATGATAAAAGAATAATAAATATTAAGTAAACCTTAACTATATCATTATATTGTCAATAAAATTAGCAACTGTAAAATAGTGAACCTATATCATAGTTATACAGTGTTGTAAGCAAAAAAAATATATATATATATATTATATATATTATTTTATCATGTATCTATACATGATAAAAGAATAATAAATATTAAGTAAACCTTAACTATATCATTATATTGTCAATAAAATTAGCAACTGTAAAATAAATCAAAACTGTATTCAAATTGTTCATTTATGTGTTTAACTTGAAAATACTCAATTTAGGAAAACATACCCTGTCTTAAAAAAACAGTGTTGAACAAAAACAATCTCCTAGGTTCTTGACAGAATATTTTCTTTGTAGTCTGTGACTTTTTCCTTTTATAAAAAAAAATATGTATTGGTACTCACTCTGAAAAGATAGGATTTGCATTTGACAATGGGTAATGCTATGGAAACGGATATAAATAGTGGTATTCTAGATATTAAGTAATGGATGGAGGAAATACTTCTTAATGGAGGTTGGTTTATACCTTTAGTTTTCACATAGTATTTTAAATATAGCTGATAATTTCAAAATTTTATTTTAGGATATGAAGATTATTTGGTGAAGAATGAATAAATTTTGTTGTTCTGTTTGGCACAAAGGTATTGAAGTGTGACTAGAGAATTTTAAGGCCAGTCTGTTGCACTTTATTTATCTTGTTTTTAGGGCATATTTCTGGTCTGAAACTCATCAAACCTCCCTAACAATCCTGCCTTTAAAAGTCTTGATCTTCCTGGAACTCACATCAATGAAAAAACTAAGCCTATAATTTTATTATTCAGTTTAGTAATTGGTCTATCAGTCATTAGCAAGTATCATTTTGTCCCTCTTCATTTCTTTCTTAAAATTTGAAATGTGGCTCACCAAAGATGAGGAAGCATCTAATTTAGAAGATTTACCTGAATTCTAATATTGGTTTATTTATTTTTTTATGTATATAAGTGAATTCAACCATCTATGAAATGCATATGAAAGAAAATGTGCAGTGTTGCTCAACAAATTATAGATACCTAAATGCAAATGCCTAGTATTACAGCCACTTAATAACTTTGATTAAACTATCATTCAAAATTTGCTTAACACAATACTGAAATAATGTATCTATTAATGTTGATTGAATCGGACCCAACTGTTGACTGTAACTTTAAATAATCGCATTAATATGTGGATTAATAAGAAAGTATCTTTTTTTTTTATAATTCGATTTATTCATCTTAAAAGTTATGTGGAACAAACACTAGTGAAACAATCTATTCCATTGCTAAAGATATTTCTTAGGCCATCCCTGATGGCACAATGGGTTAGGACACAGCACTGCAAGCTGGCCGCAGCCGCTTCAGTGTGTTTTATTCCTCGCCCAGAGGTGACCCACATGGCGCGGCAGACCTCTCTGTCTCGCCAGATGCTCCCCGTCAGTAGTGTACTTCGTCGATCTGCTTGCTCTGTTTCCCACTCTAGCTGGTGAATCCTCTCATCGCTCCTGCACCTCTGGCCTGTACCCCAGCATAAATAAATAAAATCTTAAAAAAAAAAGGATATTTCTTATTCTTTAAATAGAAGCGCAGATATATAAGACTAGTTGTTGGATGTGTCTCTATCATACTGTGAATATACTTGTGTCAAACACCTATTGCCATTAGTAAATGACTGAAGAAAATATCTTGAGTTTAATAAGGTTTTTAATAGTCTGATCACCTTAATGTCCAAACAACTGATATTGACACTGCTGATATTTAACTAGTCGCCAGTGTGTTTGAGAATATGATTTAATGTGTTCAGCATTGCAAGTACTTTTGAACTTAACACCATTTATCTAATGTATTAAGTTCATATAAAATTTTTTCAGTAAAATCCATCAAATATCTCCTTGCACTAATATCTCCAAATATCTCCAAAGTTAGTGAAGTACATTGTTGTCAACTCTGCATTAAGGTTGTCCCCTGAATGAATAGCGCTCTGGCTTCTTGGAATATAAAATTCATTGGTCCTAAGTCTATTTTTTGGAGAGTGGTTTAAAATAGAAAAATTCTTTAGTAGGAATATTTTCACTAACCTAACTAACTAGTCTTGTTAGGGGACCCTAATTTATATTCTTGAAATGAATGAAAGTAGAGATTAAAAATAGAAAAACAAGGGCCTCCCTTTCACTATGAACTTACTACTACTCACTCAAAAGAAAATGCATTTCCAAATAGTTACTTCTTATTTATTTGAAATTTATGACAAAAATATACATCTTTAATCCTAATTATCATCTGCAAACTGAAGTCAGGACATTACTTGATCTTATGCCAAAGCAAATGTCTCGGGATTGCGTTAAAACTTATAAAAGATAAGATATTACTGTAAATTACTTAATTCTAGGGAATAGGCTTTTGTATTAGTTTTAAAAGAATCTTTCTCTTCTCCCTTTCATCTCACTTCTCTGTCTCTCTCTCACACATACTCACAGAAACACACACACATTCAAACACATACACACTTCTGATTTATAAGAACAATCCATTCATCCACCTCAATTAAGGAATATTTTGCTCTGTACTCAAATGTAAATAAAATAATCTTGAGAAAAAGTTCCCACTTCCCATTTTTATCAGATTTTTCTTATAAAAGACTTAATGTAACCTATAACATTTCTTTTATAAGTGTATTATTTTTATTCTCATTTCTTATACACAAACAAAAATAAAGACATAAAACACATGCACAAAATAAAATTCAAAGCTGAAAATAAATGGTTTATTTTAAAATAAATTTACAAATCAAATGGAAAATACAAAAGCTTATGAATAAAATAAAAAAGATAACCTTAAAATATTAAAACCTATGGAAAGAAAATGAATAATTAACAAGTGGAGGGAAGCTTTCATTTCCCAATACAATGGAGTGCTTGTTTTAGAGTCTTAGGGAATCATCTAAGTTAGAATACAGAAGAAAATTAAACCAATTGTATATGATTGCATAATTAGATATTATATATCATGATTCTCTTTGTCAGGAGATTTTTATGTCATATCTAAAGCCATTAAAGGTTTTTTGAATATTAACAACACTTTTTTTTTAAATAGTAGAGAGCAATTTCTTTTTGCTCTTTGTAAGTTGTTCCCCCATATTCCTCAAATATCCTGTGTTGGGCATCTTCTGGAATACAAACAAACAAAAAACTTGGGAAAAAATAATGAAATGTATCATTTAGATTTGAGAGGCTTTAGACTTTAGCATTTGGAAAAGTTCAATACCAAAGGCAGGAATCTAAATTGGAAAAAAAAAATCAAGCAATTTTGAGGGTCACCCAACAATATTTGGGATAAATACAGAACGCATAAGTGCAAAAAAATTCGAGCATTGATAAGAGAATGGCCCTTGAGCATGGGGCTGTCCCTCATTTATGTAAAGCTCATACATGAGTCGATATTCAAAATTTTTCTGGAGTCAATTCTCCTCTGTTCTTCTCAGTAAAGACTTAATAATAGAACAGGAGTAAGAAAAAATAAGGTCAAAAAATAGTTCCAAGAGTGACTCCATCCCATAATTCAGAATCATAAAAATTTGTTTTCCATTTTAAATAATAAATAAAGTCCTCCATAGAGATCTGATTTATTGTGAACTTTAATACTGCTGAAAGACAGTTAAATATAGGAAATAGTTTTAAAATTGCTTATGAACATCCACAGCACTAAGGTAAGGGGTTCAGTAAATTATGAATTGTGGTGTTTTATAGGATACCAATCTCATATATAAGTAACTAGTGTTCATTCATTTATTACTTAACAGCCCAGACTGAGATTTATCTCTCCAGGAGTTGAGCACTGATATTAACATAGATTAGTTTCCTAGTGTGTGTGCTTGAAAACGCAGTAGGTGATTAGTTAATGCCATAGGACTGGATACCATTCAGCAGTGACCATGGCAGCTCTGTGCACAGCAGATTTCACTGTGTACAGGTCAACCATAGCAGTAGCAAGTTATTTATACTAATTTTTGGAAGGCCTAACAGCTACTTCTTTGTGAGCTGTGAATTAATGAGTAATGAATAATATCCATGTACAGACAACACTGAGACAGAAGCATGATAGTAAAAACTGAACAAGAGTTCCAGTGGTTTATAAAATTGTGCCAATAGTCATTTGAAGCCACATGCATATATAGCTATAAAGATCTAGATAGAAATGCACACACACATATATAATCCATGTGTATATACGTATGCATATATACATCTATAGTAGAATTCACGTGCGTGTATATGTGCGTGTGTGTGTATATATATATATATATAGATATATATATATTAATCTATGTGTAACATAGGTATTAACCACTTTGTAAACTCTGGACTTAGTTTTCACTTTTCTAAGTTTTAAGAAGAGTAAAATTTAATTAAAACAAGATTTATTGACAATAACTTTTCAGACCGACTTGCTTGTTGTGACTGTCAATTGTACCAGTGTAAAAAGTATGGGAAATACTGGGCATCCAGCTAACTTTCTTAGACTATTAATGCTAAAAGCAACTCTCAAGGTCACTGAGTCTAATGTCTGCACTTTACAATGAGGAAAAAACAAGTGAAGAGAAATCACTTGCTTAACAGTCACATTAGCAAGACTGAAATTAAAAGACAAATTGCCAAACACCCTGTTCCATGCTCTTCTCACCAGCCAGAAACCACTCTAAAAGCATTTTGCTATTTTTTTCATTCTCGATTAGCACCATCAGTAAAAGAGCCTATCAGATTGGACTGAATGTGGAACCAGTTGCAAAATCTGAATTACTGATACACAATATAGTAGACATGGAGACGGAATAAATATGGGTTGACCTATCAATATTCAAGAGCTTACTGTAATAAGAAATTATGACATCTTTTTCAAGCTAACAAATATATCAATTACCTGAGAGAGAGGATACAGGGGGGATAATAAGAGAAAACGCAGGCAAGTCTTTTAAACCAATTATAAGGAACAATTCTAGTTAGACCATTTTCCATTTTGTGTCATCCTAACCAAGTGTCAGACTTGCTGGGATGGTGTTTTGTAAGCAGACTGCATAAAAGCGATCATGCTTTTTGACTAAAATAAATTTAGATTCTAGATGAGTAAAAAGGCGAAAGAAAATCATATTTGGAAACACACTTATCCTGTTAACAACAACAACAAAAAAAAAACTTTAAGGGTCTTTTAATCAACAGCAAACTTGGTAATAATAAGATTAAAAACAAATGGAGAGAGAATGGATATGTAGGAACATGGTAGAGGAGACACAAAGGGGAATTCACATTGGCTGTCTTTGCCTGCAAAGGGCATACTGACATCAGAAGCTGGTGACAGACTGGGAACACTTTCGTTCTCGACCTTGGTATTGACTGAGGAGGCATAACGGCCAGTTGTAGTCACCTGAATTTATCCCTATGAGGAAGTTTTAAAGGAATATATTTTCTGTCCACGATGCAATAATTTGGGAATAAAAAACGGGGTCACTCTTCCTTTCTGGAGTACCCTTGGTTCTTTTTACCCCTTTCGTAGTCCCTCTCATACATTTTTCAAAGATGAATAGGAGAGACCCTGCTCGCCACTTCTAGACCACCTGGAAATTTTCTTCACTGGCATGGCCACCTGCAGCTGTTTCCAGAACCTGCCCTGTGGATACTTGGACTTCTCCCCTTTCCATTTAATGACCGTGAGCACCGTCTTAGCCCGCTTCAGCTCTTTCACCTTCGTCTCCTTCACAGCTTTGTACTGTACTAAAATGACGTTGATGTTGCCCCGAGAGACCATATTTTCTAGGCCAGCCTTGAGCTCCAGGAGGGCTTGGGTCCCCTGGAGCACGTAGTTGGGGCTTAGGACAACCAGGAGGCGTCTGCTTTTCTGAATGAAGCTCAAGGTCTCATCTGTGACAACTGGGAAAGAAAACACCGTGGGGATTAGTGTTGGCCAGGAACCTTCCCAAAGCATGGAGCTTGAGGAACAAGTAGGGGGCTGAGGGCTAAAACTTTTACTAAGAACACCTGGTAATACTTAGACCTGATCACTGCCTTCGTAGACACCACTCTCCTGAGGGAGAATGGAAGCTACAAGCAGATAATTCTACCCCAAATGAATGCCACACAGGCATGAAGCCAAAATGTACTTCTGCAACCCTGGTCTTCAGAAGCATTATTTGGAACATGAGAAATAGACAGGTTGTACTGAAATCAACCTTTCAACCATGTTGCATGAGGTGGCTCAGTCAAATCAGATCACAAGCCCTTTCTCCTCAAATATAGCCCTGTATCAACTCCTGTGCCAGTGGACATTCAAAAAATTACACATTCGAGACCCTCTCTGTTGCCAAGATATCACCCTGACTCAGTTTGGCATCACTATGTCACTGGCATAGGAACTTAAAAAATTCTAGCCAACTGACTGACACTTTGGCTGGCATCACATTCGCAGCTCAGTTTTCTATTCTGTCTCCGCTCGGGAGCCTAAATTAGTCCATGGATCCTTCTCCTTAAACTCTTATCATTACTATGAAGCCATGTGTCTCAGCAGCTGCTAGCAGATGTGACTGCCTTCACTAACAGACAAATGCTTTCTGCAAGTCAGAAAAGGAGGAGGAAAAGCTGGGAAAATGGAAACAGCATAATTTTACTCTGTTGTCAAGGGTTCTGATTAGTTCCTGTCACTAAATTCTTGGGGCTAATCCATCTATACCAGGTTGCTTATCAAGGACTGTATAATCCTTTACCTGGTGTTCAAATAGGAGCCAATTCCAGGGAATACACTTATGTTGTGGAAAGTTATTTCATGGCTTTCCAGTCATTTTGCCCCTTAATCTTTGCAGGTACAAAGGCAGAGGGGAAAGACTTGCAATAAATTAGTGCATATAGCCTGGAGGAGAATGGAAGAACAAGTAATCATCTACATCCAGAAGCACTGCTGGAGGCTGACCACTTATAAGCATAGAAATAGATACAGAGGTAGAGGATCAAGAAAGAACATCAGAAAAAATGCAAAAGATCACAGGAATAAATCAAAAGCAAATGCAAGACTATTATGTAGAACCTGAATTCTTCAAGGAACTATCCACTCCTATTTGAGGGTTTTACATTGTTATACATTGCATCTTCATACATCTTTTCATAGAGTAGATAAATATTTTTGAAAGGCTTTTGAAATGAATAATGGATGAATAAATGATTTAGAATGTAGTCTTAAAATAGTGAAATTTTCCTTTAATTTTATAATCAAGTAATCATTTCCTGGAAAAATTATACTGAAGGTGATACCTACTGTGGAATGTAAGTATGATGCATTTTGGAGGATGATCAGGGAGGTAAAATATGAAATTCAGCTAAATCAAAATGAAAATAAAAATTTCAGACTACTCTGCATTTCAGTTACCTGCATAGTATTTCAAAAACCTTATAAAATAGTTAATGTAAACAGGTTTTAGGGGAAGAATTTTTTTTTTGTCATGTTGAATACTAGAGAGATTATATGCATTAGAAAAGTATGAGTTTAATGGCAGGTTCATGAATGCTATTACACATTTATCTATCAAATGGCCCATCACTTTGTGTGTTACTGTGTGGATATGAAAATTAGATATGTACTTTTATTTTAAGAAAGTCAGTAATTTAAGCCATTTTTTTTTAACTAGAAGAACATTCTTATCTTTGTAAAATTGTAAGCTGTATCTCAAATGTAGAAGATAATAGAAAGGAAAAACACATCCAAAAAAAGGATGTTCTAGAAAACAAAAGAAGGAAGAAGAAATTAGCAAATGCCAACGGGGAGTATTCTAGTTAGTATCAGTGGATCATATAAAGATATCATGAGATATCATGTACTCTGTCCTCAAACTCAGTTTTGGTAAAGATGTTTTGCTTAAAATTAGAATTTGTAAAGACAAGTAATTCTAGGCAAATGAATATAAATTGACTGAAACTTTCTAAAAATTTAAATGAAGGTAGCAGGACATTTAAAGCTATGGCATTTAATGCAACATAATCTATATCCTCATATTTCTGACTAGAGTTCTTTAAGCTCTTCTGGGAAAATATTTTTATACCATAAGCTGCACTTGAATAGTCTGCAACTCACAATGTAGTTTGTTCCTAGGAAAGTCTCTATTATATTAAAGAACTGGACATAAATGTCCAGAGATGCCAACCTGCAGCTGGGCTCTGACCCTTTATACATCATTCAAAGCTAAAGGTCCACTTTGCCCTTCAGGGCAGCATCACGTCTACTCATCTGAAATACCTACTTCCCCCAGGCAGACTGTCTCGGTCAAAGATGCACAGTTTATATCCAAATTCATTCTCCAAAACTCCACGGAGGGTGAGTAACACAAATTCTTCTTCTTCAGCATTCCTTGCATAGGAGACATAAATATCATATTCCTTTCCATCTAGAAAAAGAAATACAGATCCAAACTAAGTTAGGAAAATTTCTCAACAGGTAATGCACTTTTTCTAAAATAAAATGTTTGCATATTAGGCATTTCATTTCTACTTGTATAAATTATCTGATGGATTTCAATGTGATTTCCCACTTATGACAGGTTGCCAGGCAAAATGACTATTTTAAAGTGTAATTGCAAATTTTATCTGATGTTGACTTCTCTCATCTAACTGAGTTCAGATTTTATAGTGAAGATGAGTGTGGATTGGCTCATTCAACTATGAATTAACAGAATCAGGAAGCAAAGAGTCAATCATAGAAACTGATGATTAATAATACTATGCAGAAAATTTGTAGTTCCTGTCCTTGAATGTTATGAATATACCCCAAAAATAAATTGAGTTAAAGTTTTAGAACCAAATTACTTTTACCTGGAAATAACCACAATTAAATTATGCTTAGACCCAATAAAACAATTTTTCTCTCAGTTGCCTAGTTATAAAAATCATGTGTCATTAAGATATAGGCCCTGTGTCCAACAGGCACACAGGATGAGTCTTTATGGGGTGGGTCAAGAATGCAGCATGTTTAAATGTTCCATTCTCATCACCAGGCAAATTTGTACTAGAACAATGTTTCTTAAATTTTACTATGCATATAGACCTTGAGAATATATTAAAACGTAGGTTCTGCTTCAGAAAAGCTGTTAAGTGTAAGATTATCCTTTTAATAAGTGATGGCCACTCTGCCAGTGATTGAGTTATACTTGTGTCCAAAGACAGTGAATCTATATCAACTAATAAAACAGCTAGGAGCCACATGAGATCACTGAGCACTTAAAGTGCTGTGCTCTGGACTGAGAAGTAAGTGTAAAATATAATACATTTTTGAAGATATTTAATACCCTAAAGAAGACAAAACCATCTAAAATATTCACTACATGCTAAAAAAAAAAAAAAAAAACGGAATAACTAGGTTAAATAAGTTATATTGCTGAAATTATTTTCATTTTCTTTTTAGTTTTCTTTATGTGATCACTGGAAAATTTTAAATTACATGTATGTTTTGCAAAATACTTTTCTTTGGACAATGCTAACAGCTATGAAATCACACATTGTGCCAAAAATACAGAGTAACTAGTATTAAAAAGATTAACAAAGGGAGTTTGATTAAATCTTTTAGTTAATCTGGATTCACCAAACCAGCATGTTTTCTAAGGTTGAGATTAGAAAATTTTTATCAGACTTGCATTACTCACCTGAAATGGTTTCATCTGTTCCAAAATGAGCCCGGTAAAAGAGGACCATCTCCAGCCAATACACATGATAAACAACGATGAGAATCACCACCAGCAGGACCGTGGCTCCAAAGCCACATGCCAGTTCCACTGTGTACCTTGGAGCAATTACTGCAGTGAACAACAAAGAAACAGCGTTGATTTCTATGTGGTTATTACAGTGACTCATCAACTGCAAATAACTGACTAGTCAAGCAGCTGAGTCACATACCTGGCTTACTACAGATATGAACAGGCAGATATAGGGTTTCATCATGTTTTAATAACATTGATAAATTATGTATAGTCATCTTTGTTTCTATCACCTGGTATAAAAAAACATTTTTAAGTCATTGATGATTTGAATAGGCTTGGGTGATAATATAATTTAGAATAGTGTCAGCACTGGTGAGAATTTAGAAGGTGATTTTCTATACCTAAATTGTCTTCAAATTATTTTTGAAAGTAAAACTCTGTTTTCTGATCATATCTTAAGATGCAATCTTTACTACTACCTGGATTAGCCCACAATTTTAGTAGAATTTTTATTTTATTATTATTTTTTAAATATTTAATTATTTATGTATACTGAACTGGGGTACCGGGTATCAGCCAGAGTTACAGGGAAGGTGAGAGGATTCACCAGAGTCAGAGTGGGGAGCAGGACAGGCAGATCGACAAAACACACTGCTGAAGGGAGCAACGGGCTAGTCAGGAGGGGTCTGTCATGCCATGTGGGTCACCTCCAGGGCCAGGGATCGATCTCACACTAAAGAAGCCGCCTAGCTTGCAGAGCTGCATCCTAACCCGTTGCACCACCAGAGAGAATTTTTATTGTTGAAATGGTTAAATTGAGCAAAATTTTAATGTATTTCACTCATCTAATTTCATCCCCTTCCAATGCCATATGGAGGAAATTTAACTTCCTTTCTTTATATTTGGAAATAGGTTTCAAAATCTTGTTTTCACTGGTCAGGAACAGAAGCTATCCACCAAATGCTGGCCTCTGAAAGCACCTCCCAGATTGACAAATACAAAATAAATATTCCAAAGATTTACTTTCAATATCCAAGTATGAAGAGATTTCCACATTATTTGCTTATTTTAATGATAAATGTGTTTGCAGTTTCTTTGGAATTATCAGAAAAGTTCCTGTAAATAAGGTCTGTTACAACTGAGTTGCTTTCTTTCTCATTTACCATTGCCCCCTTCTCAAAAACATAAGGCACAGTCAACTTCATGCCTTTTCTCATGCTCTGGTTGCTGATGAAATTGTCCTCTTTTTTCAGTTCATAAGTCCATGCTAAAATGGCATTATGTGTATAGTCTTTCCTAGGAAAAAATTCTTCCTTCAACCTTATTTTTGCCTGGCAGAAATTTTCATTTTTCTATTGTTTATAATTCTATTATAGCATTTTAATTATAATTTCCCTATAAACCTACTTCTCTCTTACTTCCCACTAAAATATATATATATATATATAATTTTTTATATAAAGACTATATCTTCCTTAACCATCCTACCCCTCAAACACCTAAAATATCAAAAATAGAATATTTCCAGAAGTATGGCTTGTATATCTTAAATATTTAAAAGAAGTCTAGTGCCACACTATGTAATTTTATTTAGCAATTTTCTTAGGTTATGATAATGAAGCTTAAGAGCTGGAAAAAGGAACAGTGTATTTTTGGATCTGAAGGAAATGTAGCTTAAATCATGTATTAGTTGTTGACAATTGATTCTTGACATATTCTCTTTGCCAGAAGGTGCTGGAAATACAGGGATAGACAAGACAGAAAGGTCTTTGCTCACTTAGGGCTAATACTCTAATGCAGGGAAATGAGACAATGAATTTTAGCTAGTGACAATTACTAGAAAGAAAATAAATGAGAGTAACATGGTGGAGGCGATATGAACAAGAGGGGGTGAGAAAAATGGTCACTTGAATATTTTTAGGTGTAAAGTGTTTGTCGAGACAAGACATGGAAATATTTTGTTTAAGGTTAGGTTGTCACTGAGGTTACTAAGTCCAAGGTTTAGAGATCTTTGCACCATGCTGCCATGAAGGTCAACTATTGATCATACATTGGTAGAAAAATCCTTTAGAACTTGTCTATCTCAGTGGCCATCCCTGGTGGCACAGCGGATATAGTGCAGCACTATGAAGCCAGCTGCAATCGCTTTAGCACAAGTTTGATCCCTGGCTAGGGTGGTGACCCACATGGCGCAGCAGACCTCTCCTGTCTTGCCTGTTGCTCTGCTCAGCAGTATACTTCGTCAATCTGTTCTGCTTCCTGCTCTGTCTCTGGTGAATCCTCTCATTGCCTCTGCATCTCTGGCCTGTACCCCAGTTATGAATGCATAAATAAATCAATCTTTAAAAAATTGCCTATCTTAGGGGACTGGATCTGAACCTAAAATTCTCTGATTAAAGAAAAGATTGTAGAGCTTCAGGCCCACTGCCCTAAATTCAAAATACTAATCTTATTATTATATGTTCCCTGCATAATGGTGTTTTTTTTTTTTTTTTTTTTTTTTTTTTAATTTTTTTTTTTTTAAGATTTATTTATTCATACAGAACTGGGGTACAGGCCAGAGATGCGGAGGGTGAGAAGATTCACCAGGGACAAAGCAGGGAGCAGAACAGGCAGATCGACCGAAGTACACTGCTGAGGGGAGCAGCGGGCGGGTCAGGAGAGGTCTGCCATGCCCTGTGGTCTCCTCCGGGGACAGGCGGGAATCGAACTCATACGTAAGTGGCTTAAGCTTCTTTGTGCAGTGCTTTAACCCGCTGCGCCACCAGGGAGGGCCCCATAATGGTGTTTTAAAATAACAAAACCCTCTCAGAAAATGTCAGCTGGTATGTCAGTGCAGTTGTTGAGAGTTTACTGAAATCAGTTTGGATGGTCAGCATGGATATTTCTGTGTTCATGATGCATTTGGATACATCTTATGTCAACAGTATATTGGAGAAATTCATTGTCAGCGCTATTATTTTCTCAGGTAGTTTGTTACCCACTGAGTGGATATTTTATAATTGTGAGGCAGGAGTGAGGGAGAGAATTTCAGTGGCTGCACTTACTTCAAATGGATTTTTGTAGTGCAGAGATCTTGCTCAATGACCAAGTGATAAATTACCCTCTGCTACATTCATTTTATTACTGCCAATTTTATTTCTAGTGGGGTTTTTAAATTTTGTTTTATTTCATACAGTCACATGTATCAAATTTACAGATTGTATTTTGAAAGGCCATTTTGATGCTATCAGGAAGTCCCTGATGCTACTTAACTAACTGAAGTCTTAAGAGAAAGAATCCACAAGTCTGAATATTTAAATGGCTTGCAACATGTACAGGAATCATTTTACAAAACTTTCACATAAAGCTTTGCTTTGCAAGGAGATAGGGGACCTGGGCCCACAAGTTCTGTCTGCCCCAGCCAGAACTGTTGATGTTTTGGGATAAAGATTTTATTCTGATGCAATCCCAGACTAAAGGGCTTTCAGTTAAGAAGAGATGATGCAATTTGACCAAATTGGATGCTTCCACTGCTCTTGTCTTTGATCTCACTGATAATCTGATTCATAATGTAGACAAATGTAGCTGTTTGTTCTGCTTTTAATCCCTTAGCCAGAACTTTCTGATTCTGTTGCTGTTCTATAGTAATAACTGTCTCCAAAGCCTAAATTTTCAGCTAATTTTCCTTGATTCAACAGTCCGATATCTTAGCTCTAATAATTTTCTCTGATTTGAGTTCTGGTTTACAATTTTTTTTCTCCTTGGAAATCTAAGTCTGTCTTTTCATCTCCATTATTGAAGTTAGGGACTTCCTATTCATTGAGTCTCACAACCAACTACTTTCAAGAATTCTCTTTCACTGAACATGCTGTTCTTTTTAAATGTTTGGAACTTCTTGATAATTTTTGCAACTGTACTGGAAATACACATTTTCCTAAATTGCAAACAAAATGAATGATAAGTGGTAGTAAATCTAAGACTGAATCGACATGTGATTTTTCTATCTATTATAGTGGTTAAAATATGTGCACTTTAGACTCAGCTGCTGTCCTTAAAGGAGTAACTGATAAAGAAGTAGCTTCCCCTCCATAATATTGAACAGCTTTTCAAATTTGGATGGCTGCTAGCTCAGCAGCGCAATCTATGGGAGGGAGGGCACAGCCAAGGTAAGCTGTTGTCTTTTTACCTGCAGGCACTGTTGGGAATGTGGCACTGATGGGAGTAAACCAAAAGTAAAGGGGCCATATTGAGCTAAGAAGATGAAAAATAAAAGGCAAAATTATCAATTTGGACCTGGCTAAGAAGAGAAGAATATTCTGGAACTCTGGAAATCTCTGGAATAGTACAAAGCCTTGCGTATTTAGCTTTCAGATAATGGCAAACAAGATCAGATTCCAGATTATATCAAAGGCTTCATAAGAAAATTTTTGACCAGTATCTTTCATGAACAAAAATATGAGCAAAATTCTTAACAAAATCTTAGCAAATCAAAGTCAGCTTTATGTGAAAAAAACTAAAAATTATGAAAATGCAGAAGTTCATCCCAGGAATGCAAGTCTGGATCAACATTTCAAACCCAATCAGTGTAAATCACCACAAAGACAGAATGAAAGTGGAAAAATCATATTATTCTTTTAATAGAGAAGAAAATAAGAATTTGATCTATTTCAACAGACATTCATTGTCTGTTGTTTGAAATTTTTTCACAAATTTAGTAAACCAATAATAGGAGATTACCTCGTAGGTAGGTAAAAGCCATTAAAAAAAATGCTACAAAGAAGATCATAGCTAATATATAAATGTTGAATGCTTGTTTTCTAAGATAAGAAACATTGCAAGGCTCGCTGTTCTCAAAAGCACTGACGGTCACTGTTCTGGAGGTCCAAAAGAATGAAATAAGCAAGAAAAAGGAATGAAAGCTAAAAAAAATTTAGAAAGAAAGTGGAAGGTTGTGTATTTATAGGTAATAGAATAAATGCTTAAAAATGTTAAGGAAGGGCCCTCCCTGGTGGTGCAGTGGGTTAAAGCACAGCCCTAAGAAGCTAAAGCCACTTCCACATGTGTTCGATCCCTGACTGACATGGAGGTGTGGCAGACCTCTCCTGACCCGCCCACTGCTCCCCTCAGCAGTGTACTTTGTTGATCTGCCTGTTCTGCTCCCACACTGTCTCAGGTGAATCCTCTCACTGCACTGCACCTTTGGCCTGTACCTAGTTCTGTATACACAAATAAATAAATCTTTAATAATAATTTTTAAAAAATGTTAAGGAAACTAAAAAAAAAATAAAATAAAGCAAAACTTATTTAATCAGTGAATGTGGAAAAGTTCAACCACTGAGATCAATATATAAAATTCAATTTAATTTACATTTCTGTTTCAATCAGTGAACAAGCAGAAAATAAAACTTAAAAAATACCATTGTGGGTGATCCCTGGTGGCACAGTGGGTTAAAGCACAGGACTGATAAGCTAAAGCCACTTCAGTATGAGTTCTATCCCCGCCCAGGAGGTGATCCTCCTGGTGCGGCAGACCTCTCCTGACCCGCCAGCTGCTCCCCTTAGCAGTGTACTTTGCCCATCTGCCTGTTCTGCTTCCCACTCTGTCTCTGGTGAATCTTCTCACCCCCCTGCACCTCTGCCCTGTACCCCAGTTCTGTATGCAATGGCAACCAACATATTTAGGGATAAATCTACCAATATGTGTGTAAGAACTACACATGTAAATCTATGAATAAAGAAGTAACTACAGCATTGTTGATATTATCAATGAGCCTAAATAAATACCATGGATTAGAAAACAAAATGTGCAGATTTCAATTATTTCCAAATTGATTTACCAATTAATGCATTCGATTACATTCTAATCCCGGCAGGCTCTTATGTAGAAAATGACAAGATGATATTAAAATCTATATGAAAAATTATATGTTCACCAGCTAAAATAGTTAAATCAATCATGGAAAAGAGAAAACATAGATGGGTATATAGTATCTGATTTCATGACCTACTTATAGCTGTTAATGAAGACAAAGTAATTCTGAACTAAAGATAGACAGTTTAATAGAACAGAATACTGAATACAAAAATAGATCCACACTCATAGCAATAATTTTTGTTTGGATAAGTTGTCAAAACATTCAACAGTAAAGGAAAGATTTTTCAATGAGGATAAATAAAGCCACCATTTTTTATATCAGAAAATATGATACTAAGCCTTAACCCAAATACTATCAAGCAAATTAACTTGAAATGAATCATATACCTAAGACTAAAAGAAAACTATAAAAAGAAGATTGCTAAAATAGGATTTAGAAGGAACTCAACAGAAATGAAGAAACTAATAGAATGGATTTCATCAAAATGTTAAAAATATTTCTCATCAAAGGAAAAGAAATTCACAAAATAGAAAAAAATATTTCCAGGTCACATATACCTGACAAAGAAAATCCTTATGTCTATATTTACATAGATATATCTGTATCATTGGTCTATATCTATAATATATACATATCCTAAAACTCATTAGCAATCCATTAAAAAATAAAGGGCCAAAGATTTTTAATAGGCACTTCACAAAAAGAACTATAAATTAGTGGTCAATAAGTCCTTAAAAATGTGCTCAACATCATTAGTATAAGAAAAGTGAATTAAAAATGCAATTTGAGACCACCACCCATCTATTAGAATGGGTAAATTTACAAGTATGACAACTTCAAAAACTCACAAGGAAGTATAGCACTAGGAATGTACCATACCTTGCTAGTGCCAGTGTGAAGTGGTACCTCTTTTAAAACAGGTTGGACAAGTTCTATAAACTTCAACAGAAGCCATGCCATCTCCTATTATAAAACAACTTCATCTTTAACACTTACATTAGCTACCTCTCCTTCAATACTTTGCTTTAACTGCATATAAAATAGTGCTGTCAACAGAGCTAGTCCAGTAAACTTCCTCATTTAGGCAATAGACTCCTCCTGTCATTTTCCTGATAGTGTACATGGGATGTTTTGTCAATGGATTCAATGAAATAGTCACATATAAAATGTATAAAGGGAAATTCAGAACTCATCTCTGAATTTCCACATTATCTTGTCCAGAATAGAAGCTAGATAAACAAACCTGGGACACCTATGTTACCAGTGGATGTACAAGGACAAGTGGGTTATGTTACTTTTAGCCCTGAAAATCTAGTCTAGTGGATGCACTTGTCACTTCATATTCATGAGGCTGTTCATACTAAACTACTCAGAGCAGGGCCTTCTGTGGAAGCTCTGCCTCACCCCTAAAGGAAATATCATTATAATTTTTCTAGTACTATCTACCTGACAATGAGTTACTAATTTGTTATTCTCCATGACTGTAGCCCAAAACACATGTTCAGAAGATACACAAAATGTCCCATACTTTAAAGAATCTGGAGTCAAACATATTTCACCAATGCTCTACAGATACTCATAACACATGTTTATATGTTAAAAACTCTAGCAGGCTTGAACTGTATAGCACCAAGTGATTGATTTTGTTCAAACTAGATTTTTATGGTATTTACTTGAGTTATAAAAGTCCCTGTCAAATAATACCTAGGACAATTTTGTGGAAATGATAAAAGCTAATGTCTATTAAGCATTTAATTGCCATATATACACTCTGTTTTGATGCCAGTTGAGACGAACACTTTACAACAACCTTAAGAGGTAACAATGTTACATTGTCCACTTTATCATTTTTAAAAAAAAATTATTTATTTATTCATACAGAACTGGGGTACAGGCCAGAGATGTGGAGGGTGAGAGGGTTCACTCATGCGGAAGTGGCTTTAGCTTCTTAGTGCTGTGGTTTAACCCGCTGCGCCACCAGAAAGGGCCCCACTTTATCATTTTTAACAGATTTGTTGTGGTAATATTGGTTTACAATATTATTTTAAGATATTTTAAACTTACTTATGTATGTAAGAGCTGGAGTGAAGGCCAGAGGAGCACTGGGGCCCGGGGGTAGGAGGTAGGTGAATGGTGGTGAGAGGATTCAGAGAGACAGAATAAGGAACAGAACAGGCAGACTGACTGAAATACACTGCTGAGGGGAGCAGCAGCAAGACAGGAGAGGTCTGCTGTGCCTTGTGGGTAGTTTTCTGGCTGGAGACCAAACTCTGGCCAAAGTGGCTGCTGATAGTTTTATAGTGTTGAGACTTAACCCTTTATACCACCAAGGATGCCCCAGCCCTGTTGTTTTTTAAGGGTATACATTCGTATCTCTTCAAATATGTGTTATCATACCAGGCGCACCACAAAACTATCAAATCTCCACATATCATGTTACCTCTTTTAAATTTAAAATCAATGAAGCTCAGAGCCTCAGTGACTCTTACAGATCATGGAATTGGGAAGGACAGAAACGAGGATTCCAACCTACCTGAGTCTGAAGCTCAAATAATGAATTGCGGTGCTACAAGAGTGTTAATAGAGTTCTTAAAAACTAACGCTGGAAAGCACTGCCTTTTGGCAAGTGGTTTAGTCTTTGTTTACCCTGGCTTCTGAGGAACAGAAGCAGTTAACTCTTAGAACCAATCTACTTAAATCAGCTATTTACTCTTTATTTTCTAAATTGTTAAAAATGTTAAAGTGAAGTCTGTTTTATCACAGCTTTAGAAAAATGTTTAAGTGCATGGCAAAATGTGTGATGATTTAGCTTTTGCTTTTTTACTTTTGAAATAGATTTTGACACAGCAATTCAGGGTGATTCTGAATGACATGACTCCATGTGTGACAAATCATCTTTATCGTTTTCCTGATTATTGAAAAATGTTCTTAAAGAGATTAATTGTGTGTGGTTCTGTATTAGGCTAGAGACCCCAAAATAATTTTAGACATAGTCAGTTTCAGGAGCAATAGTTCACATGGGAAAGTTTTACAAATTTTATTTATTGTGGAAAAATATCACAGTGTCAACATAAAATTACCTCTTAATCATATTAAGTCATTGTTTCATTTTAGCAATTTGGTTAGGTGTATTATGTGTTAAAGACTCTAAAGGGCTGAACTATATAACAACAAGTGCTTGAATATTGACGTATAGTATTTAAAATAATCATTTTTAAATTATATTTAGAGAACTTTTAAAATCTTAATTATTGTATACAAATTATCATTAATAATTCTTCAGTGTATATATATAACACTTCTCAGGGTATTTATTTTTCATAGTATTGATTTGCATATAATTGTGCTATAAGTATTTGTTCAAGAAGAATTCCCAAAGTATTGAGTCATATAGTATGCTCATTTTTATGCCTCATGAACTCTAAAATCAATGATTTCTAAATAATTTTTTACACCTCTACAAAAATATGTGGCTCTACTATTTTCATTATATACTTGTTAACCTTGAATATTGCCTTTCTTATTGTTCCTCACTGTATATAGTATTACATCTAATTTTAATAATATGAATATTTTAGTCACAACCTTGCACTAATTTACTAAATTACAAGAAGCAACATTTTGGCTAACGTTACATATTTGTAAATTTTCTGTAAAGACCATTTCTTTTAATTTTGTTTCATTACTAAGGATCAGATATCATGTTAGGTGCTGGAGCTCTTCTCAATTTCTCCATTTTTCTTTATTCACCAAAATGCTACATTTGGAGTTCACAGATTTATCTGCTGAACACATCCATTACCTTTCTGTTTCACCTTCGCTGCTTTGTCAACTTCCCCTTTGTCGTTTCTAGCATGGCAGACATAGCTACGCTTGAGATCCTCAGCAGTAACTTTCTTGATGCTCAAAATCTGAGTTCTTGTTTCATCTTCTGTCTGAGAAAGAGTTACACTAGAAATAGGTGGAAAAAATCAAGGCATTAGTGAGACTCTATTTCTATGACAAGTAGACCATCAAAGAGCAGCCAGTAGAGGTCAGACAGAATATCAATAAGCTACATTGCCTGTGAGCCAATGGTTATAAAGGAGAGTAGCTTCCAGATGCCAGTACAATTCTTTATCACCTATGCTACACAAAAACCCCAATGTCTAAATCAATCTTGGTTTTATACTATATATCTCATACTAAAAGATCTCCTTCCTTCAAATTTCTGAGGCCAGATACTGTATAACAAGAAGCTGGTTTAGAAAGAAGCTTCTGAGGTCAAATCTATTTGGGCTATGATCCAGGTGTTGCCACTTATTTGTCACATACTTTGGGTAAGTAACTAATCTGTCCATATCATGTGTTCCTCCTTGAAAAAGAGAAAAGTAGCAATGTAAAAACAGGGTATTACATGTGCTAATTTTTGAATTCTGAGGGTTGAGTATGTTAATGAGAAAATATTAGAATTATGCTTAATAAATATCCACATTTGCTGTTCTTTATCCAAGCAAACAGATAATGCATTTCAGGTTTTCACAGATTTTTAAATTATTAAATACTGAAACCCCAATATTGTATCCTACTATATATAAGGAAGAAATCTCAGAGCCAGTAAATTTAGGAAAATAACATCCAAATCTCAGAAAGTCAGAAGTCAAGTGTGTTGGGTGCAAGATTAAGATTTAAAATCCCTTCAAATATCTTTGCTTTTTCAAGAGTGGGGGAAACATCTCTTTTCTATAGCTGACTGCTCTCTAACGGTCTGATGAGGCTTACTATCGGTCCTGAGAACTTCATTAAGGGCTGTGAAGGGTTTAGCTTAAGCTTAACTGAACTACTCAATTATGAACAGTGAGAATGTGTTTCTTCTATAAGAGGTAGGGTGAACAGCATGACTTTCATTATTCATTTATTAGTAGTATGAGGTTAGAAAGTGTAATAGTCATAATTTTTGAAATGATCAATAACTCTTCTTCTGTGCCTCCAGCCATATCTTTCATCAAAGCCTTCTACAAAAACTGCTTCAATTTCAGCAAGTTCCTTCTGTACCTTTGAATATGTTCTGCTTCTCTAACCTCTAGGCCTTTGTGTATGTTGTTCCTTTCACCAGGAACATTCTTCCCATTTCTTTAGTTTCCACCCATCCTTCAAATCTGTATTTAGGTACTGTATGATCTGAGAAACATTAGTTAATTTCCAAAAGCTGCCTAGAATTCTCAAATACATTTTCTTGTAACACCCAATAGTTTCCAGTTACTGTTTTTATCTCATTATATTGAAATTTCTGCTCTATTATTTGTTATCCCTGTAAAATCTACCTAATTAGGAACTAAGTACTTTGCCTGATGTAGATGAAATATTTGTATTTCCCTGTAAAATGCCTTAGTTTACAGTCAAAAGAAGTAACTTTTTAATTCTGTAAGTAGTTTAAGATCTTTTTACATACCAGTCATAAGCTTAAGGTCTTAAACTACTTTGCCACATAGTTAGCTATTAATTCTTTCTAATTATTACAGTAAACCAAGTGCCCTTTTATACTGGTATGTTTCATTTATAGAGGGATCGTTTGTTTCAATGAAACTTTCTTCTTGTTAATGCAACCCCCTTCAAATAAAATCATGTTATGAATAAAATGACCCAGCTTGTTAGAGAGTAAATTACACTGCCACCTTATACACTGTCCAGATAAACTATAGCAATCGTAGATGTGTGTGCTTAATGTTAAAAATGAATGATAAAATACAAACATGGCATGCAAGTGATATGAATGAAGAAAGAAGAGAAGCTAAGACAAACATGCTCATGGCAAGATAAGAAAGTAAACAGTTATCAGAGGCACAAGTATAGAAACCCATATTCCAGACTCAAGAAAGAGAAGAACAGGCCCACATTAACAGGCTTTTCTCTGCTCTTGACCATATGTTGTGGCCTTTTCATTCTTATACAATAATTATTCCCTCTACTGTCATGGGGCTATCATAAATGTGTGCATTTGCTGGGTTTAAGACACTAGGGTGCTATGCCCTAGTCAGAGACTGATGAAAATTCTCAGCCACAAGATAGTAATTCAATTCTGGACTTTGCATTGCAAACCTAGTAATACTGCATAGGATGCAGCCATAAAAGACCTCAGAATCTTCTTGACTTTTAATTGATAGGCAGAAATGAATTGCTCATCTTGATTAGAGTGAGTGATAAAAGTTAGTCAGCCCCTCGCCTGTGTCAATGATACCTTTCGTTAACAGTTACATCAATAGTGGTATCCTCTGGCTTTTTCCCATCAATGGTCCACCAAACCTCATTACGAGAGTCCTTTAGGAAAGTAAAATAAACTTTACAGGGGATGAGAAGCTCTTCTCCTAAAAAAAAAAAAAGTTAAAACATCAGTTTGCAATCTACATACAGGGATATCTGAGTAGTATCTAAGTAGGAACTATACAAGTTACAGGTAACTAAAACCTACACCTGGGGTCTCTCTGTTGGCACAAGAAATTAAGATACAGCACTATGAAGCTATGCACAACCACTGCAGTACAAGTTCAATCCCCAGCCATGGAGCTGACCCACATGGCACAGCAGACCTCTCCTGACTGGCCTGCTGCTCCCCTCAGCAGTGTATTTCAACAGATCTGCCTGTTCTGCTCCCCAGTCTATTACTGGTGAATCCTCTCACCCACCCCTGTACATCTTTGGCCTACACCCCAGCACCTGTATGCATAAATAAATAAGGAAAAAAATTATACCTGACTAATTTTCAAGTGACTTCCATAGAGAATACTCTTTACTTCATTCTAAGACAATACCTGACTAATTTTCAAGTGACTTCCATAGAGAATACTCTTTACTTCATTCTAAGACAACCTAAACCAAGAAAAGAATGCCTGAAACATTTGTAATATTATATATATCTTTTAATATAATCTATGTAAATGTTTTAATTATTTGTTATACAAATTAAAATGACAGTATTTCTTCAGAATGGTTCTCTCTCTCTCTCTTTTTTTTTTAAGATTTATTTATGCATACAAGAACTGGCTTGTAGGCCAGAGATGCATGAGGTGAGAGAGGATTCAACAGGAACAGAGTGGGGAACAAAGCAGGCAGATCTACTGAAATACTTCTGAGGGGAGCAGCGGGCAAGACAGGAGAAGTCTGTTGTGCCTCCCTGGCCAGGGAATGAACTCATGCCACAATGGCTGGTAGAAGCTGACAGCTCTGAGACTTAAACACCTACACCTCCAGGAAGGCCCTGATGATCTGTTTTTTTAACACTAAACCTCTATCAACTATTCCTCTCTTTTGTTATTTCCTTAAGGAACAAGGGTGACTAAGGAAAGCTTCTCTAAATCTCTGTTCCTTTCCTGGGGGAAGAAGTGGTGATATCATCACTGAAAGGACTGGCCAGGCAGCATGAGGATATATTCAATAAGTTTAAAGATTCATTACAAATGGAAAATTCTACCATACGGTTCTGAAAAGTCATATGAGCTTAGGATCCCGTAATTATTCAGAAAATGGTAATATTGATAGTAATAATAATACACTATTGAGAACTTTGTACAATTCACTGCATTAAATGTCTGTAGTTACTAACAGTCTTATTTAACTTTAACAGAATATGATGAGGTATTTTTAAAATTCATACTTTAAAGATGCAAAAACTGAATCTTAAAGATGCTACATGCCTCCTAGATCAAACTGTTAATATGTGGCAGACCAGGATTTGACCTAGATGGACCTTCTATTCCTGTTTTCCCAAGACAGTTCTGTTTTATGCTTGCTTTCTTAGTAAGTTATTAATATCAACTGCTTTTTCTCTCAAAAGTCACTGGGTAGAGGTGATAAAGTTTATTATCATCCTAATTTGAGCTCAGATACAACTCACTCAGTGATCAAATTCTTATTTTCTTTTCCAGTATATGGTTCTTGAATGATCTCTTTCAATTTTCCATATCACTTGTAGGGAGATAATGTGAACATGGATTCAGGATTACCTTTTTTTTTTTTTTTTAAGATTTATTTATTTGTACATACAGAACTGGGGTACATGCCAGAGGCTCAGGGGTGGTGAGAGGCTTCACTAGAGACAGAGTAGGGAACAGAACAGGAAGATC